CCGCCCAATAATGGGGAATCCGAAACAACATGTCAAAACAAACGCAAACCAAAAGCCTAATCGGCAAACCTTCACACCGAGGCGAATGCGGAATTCAGGCTTAGTCCGTCGCCCTTCCCGCCCACTTCTATAGACGGCCACCATCTTTGACCCCGAGAACACACACTCCAAGAAGTCTGTGCGGACCTCCGAAATTGTATGAAGTCCGACGCCGCCCCTGGCGTGCTCCGCGCGCCAGGGAGGGTCGCCCAGCGCAGATCCAAGAAATTCGCGAGGAGCTCCGAAATTTGTGGTCTGTGATCGGGAAGCAACTCACGGACGTTTTTGGTCGTCCTCACGGTACCCAGCAGTGCGCCCAAATCGCGCGCAACGCGGACATAATTCATCTCCCTCACGCGGCGCTATTGGGCGCTATCGGTCACTACTGGGCGCGCTTTTTGCGCTGTTCGGCGCTACTGGGCATTAACGGGCACCATTTGGCGCTACTGAGCGCTACTGGGTACTATACTCCAAGCTTATTGGGGATAACACGCGAGATTGCCACAAGCGTGTAGAAGGCATGGGTCGCTAACAGGGATGACGTGACGACGTGCTAATCTTAGGTTCACCTACAGGGTGATTTTAGACGAAAAATGAAACACCCCCCCAAATACTTCCAAAATAATCAGAAATGGTCAAACGATCGTCCCCAGACTATTTTCTTGTTATTTCCGAATATTCCTGCTGTAGGGGGACAAGCCCGACTTAATACCAATCAAACTCGTCTGTATTCGCCAATGTGCACTCAGCCTACAGAGAAACGAAAGCTGCACAAACATGCTGTTTGGAAGTCCGCGCAAATGTTTTGGGTCTGCGATGGACCCCCCTCCCTGGCACGTGGAGCGCGCCAGGGGCGGCGCCGGAGGCGCGGCCAGGGGGGCCCAACGCAGATCCAAGACATCCGCCCGGACCGACAACAAAATTATGTTTACGCAATTTCTTCATCCAAATGAGCACTGAGTCCAAGACGGGGCCGTTGGAAAAATGACGAGGCCAAATCTGAAATTTGACGCGAGCTCCCGCTGCAGACATCCCACAAAAACGGGACCGTCAAAACCCAAGAGCGGCCCGCCAAAAAACGCACGCACAACCGAGTTCCGACGTTCCGACGAACCCGAGTCTTACGTCTCCCCAATATTCGCCAATGCGCACTCAATCCAATCGCGGATCTGCTGACCTGGGTCAATGCCAGCCCGGGTCAGTCGGGCGCTGCAAGATCCTGCAAGATCCTGCAAAATCTGACGCTCTGGCCGACCCCCCGTGCATTGACCTCCGTCTCGAGGCTCCCAATCCAAGACGAGCGGAAGCTTCCGTGACTTTCAACCTCACTGCGCCACCCCTCTTCACGCCTCCTCCCTCCTCCTCCCTCCTCCTCTTCCTCCTCTTCCTCCTCCTCCTCCTCCTCCTCCCTCCTCCTCCTCCTCCTCCTGCTCCCCTCCTCCTCACTCCTCCTCCTCCTCCCTCCTCCTCCTCCTCCTCCTCCTCTCCTCCTCCTCCTCCTCCTCCTCTCCTCCTCCTCCTCCTCCTCCTCCTCCCTCCTCCTCCTCCTCCTCCTCCTCCTCCTCCTCCTCCTGCTCCTCCTCCTCCTCCTCCTGCTACTCCTCCCCTTCCTCGACGCACTGCAGAGGCCGTGCCTCCGCGCCGAGCGCGCTCCCCTCTGCACGGGGAGGGGCGCCCCGCGGGGGGCGAAAAAAACGCTGGGCGCCCCGGCGCTCGGGCCGGACGAGAGGGGAGGAGGAGCAGGAGGAGGAGGAGGAGGAGGAGGAGCAGGAGAGGAGGAGGAGGAGGAGGAGGAGCAGGAGCAGGAGGAGGAGGAGGAAGAGAAGGAGGAGGAGGAGAGAAAGAGGAGGAGGAGGAGGAGGAGGAGGAGGAGGAGGAGGAGGAGGAGGAGGAGGAGGAGGAGGAGGAGGAGGAGGGAGGAGCAGGAGGGAGGAGGAGAAAAAGGAGGAGGAGGAGCAGGAGAGCAGGAGGAGGAGGCAGAGGAGGAGGAGCAGGAGGAGGAGGAGGAGGAGGAGGAGGAGGAGGAGGAGGAGGAGGAGGAGGAGGAGGAGGAGGGAGGAGCAGGGAGGAGGAGGAGGACGGGGTGAGCCTTCCTGGGAGCCTCTGTGAACCTCCGCGGCCCAATCGTAAACGTGACTTCGACGGGATGCCGTCCAGATTTCGGCCACCCCGCTTCCCCCTGTCGTCCAGACTTGGTTCATATGTCGTCAACAAATCATCGGGATGCCGTCCCGATGTCTACACCACATCCCATTACATCTGGACGGAATCATCAAAGCCGCAAGGAATTGTGCCACTCTCCCCTGAGGCCACCGTAACAGACCACACGAAGAAAAAGGGGGGGGTCCAGCACAGGGATGGGCAGGCGAACCGGCTGACGCAGCAATGCCACCGAACTGTCTTCGCACGCCGCGCCCCGCGATGCGCGACGCGCGGGCTCTCTTCGCGCCGTCGCGCCGCC